CTTAGATATGAGCGTATTCACTCGTTGCAACATTCCCAACACCGTGAATTCGAATGGAAGAAACGGAGCCGGCTGAAAAAGTTTTCAGCTATTTTTCACACCACATATTATAAATTCAAAAAAAAACAAAAACATCTCGTCTTGAAGTGCGGTAAATCGTCAGTGAGATATGGAAGGATCCATTTGAATGACTCTACGGAGCTCGGTGGATAAAAAAGAGCAGAGCTGCGCAGAAACAATGCTAGCTGTGCCAATAGCGAGAAAAGAGAAGGCGAGGAAAGTATTCAAAATATCAAAATTTGAATAACAAAAAGCCTTGGGAATTGATATACCGTTAAATAGATGAGGCCTTCCGTAAGTTGTTTTTCAAAAAAAATCTGCTAATGCATGCAGCATCATTGGCTCGACAGTTTGTTTAAAAGCGAAAGTGGTCTGCAGTTGTAGTGCCGCTAAAATGCACTCTTCATTGAGGAAAAACCAGTTACCAACGTTGACTTTAGTAGGAATCTGCTTATAGAGAGCTGCTGGTGGCATCCAGGTTGGCCCTGGAAGCCCAACTGGCGAAGGCGCGATAGAATACAAAAAGAAAGAATAGTATGAGAAAAGAGGGCAAGAGTGAGATAAGACGTTTCGGTCCATTAAGTCATATACGTCTCAACTCAACACCACTGCAGAAATCAAAAGTTCACGAACCAAAATCCTCTCCTGCTTCTGTAACCTCTGTGCAACTGTTATCGTTCTTATGAACTGCTGCATGAAAGAAAAGAAACAAATCACCTTATGCATTCTTGGTTCGATTTCTGCGACAAAATAGTGAAACTCAATGGCCAAACTAAAATGGGCTAAATCGCTCTCAACTTGTTTCCCTAAAATTCTTGTCAGCAAAAGCAAACTACTGGAAAAAAGTATCCATGTCCTGACTGGGGGAAGGGCGAAGGGAGGAAAGGCGGGGTGGGGAGGGGAGGTGGAGAGGGAAGTAATCTAACTTAGAGAGTTGAAATAAATGTTAAAGAAATACTTTGGAGTGAAGAGCCTCCTGAATAGCTTCCTCGACAAGCGACAAATTTGCAATATCAACGGTTATCACATGTGGCCTGCCAATAAAAGTTTCCGCGTATGGATTCTGGCTTGTCAACTGCAAATCGCACTACTAAAAATACGAACTCGTCAAAAACATTTCAAATCTCCCTGCGAGATAATTTCATCAAAACCTTTATTTTATTAAAAATACCAAAAGCTGATATTCGAATGATCAAAATCGAGATACCAAAAATGTCCGGCCGGCAGTCGTGTCCCTAAAAGTGGCACTACTGACAATCTACCACACGCCGGATGAAGCTTTGCTAGGTTTTCCGATGCTTTAGCTAAACGGGGACCAAAAGTGTTCTTTATCCACATGATTCCCCATATGTGGATTTGAAGTCTTGTTACCTCATATTAGTCATAAACTCCTTTAACAGTTTTCGCGACGTCACTGCGTCTTATGTGGGGAAAGTAATTGCAAATGTAAATTTTTAAAGTCCCCACCACTAGTGCAAAACCCTCCGCTTATACAAATTTCCGAAGATTTTCGAACGACAAATCCCTTTTCGACAAATTTCCGAAGATTTTCGAGCAGCAGAGCCCCTTTTTCAAGCTTCTGCCAAATTTTACTTTTATGGGCTAGCCAAAAAGAGTGACTTTTTATTCTAATGTTTGACCTGGAGAGACTTTGCTTACCATAATATGAAGCATGTAGTACAGCACTACGTTCCAAATGATTCACAGGCCTAATGGTCGTTACTTATCATTTCTAAGTATAAAGTATGGTTATAAAAAAATCAAAGGGGGAATGTAGAAAAGGCTGAGAAAAATTAATGTATTACCTCGCGTAAAGTTGGTTTTTCTCGAAAAAAATCGTATGTTTTGCGTGATTTTGCTGGACGGAACGATGGATTGATGAAAACAGCACCGCTTGCGATCGCTTCCAGTGGTGCCGGGCCCTCCAGCGGAAAGCCGAGTCCCAAGAAAATTTTTACTCTTCTCATCAATGAATGAAGCCGTGCGGTTGGTAAAATCCCATGATTTTTTATGAGAAGTTTATCAAAATCGGAAAGATAACAGTTTTTGCATGTATCCCCAACTGTCGCATGTATTTCTGTGAATTTTTGAACTGTTTCAATCAGAGGCCTCGAACCGTTCCACATGTACGCGGCCTTGCCATAAACCTGCAAATTTCCAACTCTGTTCTGAACAACACCAGTGTTTCTCAATCGAAATAATTTTTGTTTATAAAAAAGCGCGAAAATAATAAGGAAAAATCGGGGAGAGGGAAGGGAGAGGGGAAGAGGTACCGGTTCCAGCAAAGGGCGGCGATTTGGCGCAACTTTCGGCTTCTAAGATGGAAAAAGACAACATGTTGGTACTACTTCTACTGCCAGCAATTATCTAAAAAATGAGGCTGCTGATGATGCCCCCTCCCCCTCATTTGTTTAAAAGGCAGGAACAAGGGTCATGGAACGAATTTCAGTAGCTGTAGAATGCTTGGGATCATCAGACACTGTAGATATGATGATAAATGCGGTAAGCGCAGAAAAAAGGATGGGGAAATGAGAGGGGATGAAGAACTATTCGAACTAAAAAAAGTGAAAAATCGACATAGCTGATACACGGATGGCGCACTGGCATCGATATGAACCTACAAAAACTATCGGAACTTACCAACTGAAAAAGCCGGCGGTACTAGTGCACCAGGGTACATTTGTATGTGTGTGCGTGTGTGTGTGTGTGTGTTTGTCTGCGTGTGTATCTGTGTGTGCGTGCGTGTGTGTGTGTGCCGATGGTGTTCGTCTGTTTCATCAGGGGTGGCATAAAAATACTTACCAGTGTAGCATTACGTCGGCTGACATTCTCGTTCACTGGATGCATTTCAACAACGAAACCGAGAAATGTATTATCGTCAGTATGCGGGAACATTGTCATGAACTGCTGCAGGTTTAACCGATGCCCACCCCATGAATTTTTTGACGCACCTCCCAAAACATCTTTGTGAGTGGCAAAATAATTCTGCGAATTGAATTCTGCATGCGTGCCAAATGAATCGAGAACTCGCAACGAGCACCTGGAAAAGATGTGAAATAAATAGCAACGCACACCAGACTAGCCTTTGCGATCATGCGTTTTGTGCAATTCAGCCCATCGAACGATTGCCTATTAATGATTTTCACTGCTTTTGTATACTTTACTTCGTAGTTCCCGAGATATTAATTTACCCGTAAAAAACTTTCACGGAGCCGTACGCGCTACCCGCGGGTACGGGGAAGCTGAATTTGAATTTGCGGGGTCACACGTGGGTGGG